TACTTGGCTACATCCTATGTAAATGAAGAAGTGGCCTGTAATCAGTCTGATTGATTGGAGAAGGTGACCAATCAGAGGCTGAAGTAAAGTTACAGAGTTACACATGAAGGCTTGGCCCCTCACCGGTCTGATTGTGGAGAGAACCAGTCAGAGGTACTTCCCATTTTTCATCTGCCATATAGTGCAAAGGGAGTAGCCTCTGATCCTTTTGTTACTTGGGTGTGGAGAGGTGGGGTTTTCCTTTTGATTCATTTCTAGGAAGTCAGCATGGCCTTAGCTTCCCTGCCTTTAGAATTTACTCTCCTGCCTCATTTAGAAAACATCCTCTTCCTGCTTCCAATTTGTGAAATGTATTGAGCCTTAACTTATTACCCAGCATATAATCAGTTGTGGTAGATTTCCACAGGCACTTGAAAAAAAATGAATTCTGCAGTTGTTGAATATACACCATTTTTTTTAGAGCTGTGATTGTCACCACTGTTGTGAGTGCTAAGAACCACAGGTCATATTCCGTGTGTGCACACATGCTATTTTTTCTACAGTAAGAAAGTACTTCATCTTGTTTTGTAGGTACTATGCAATATGCAGATGGTAAATTAAAATGCTTAAAATATATCCATGCCTAAATCCTTTTATAGATATATGATTTATATAAAAATAGAGGTATGAAATTAGGTAGTAAAGCAAGAACTAAAGTAATGGGAGGGCATCATCATGTGGTATTTGATAGTTCTACTAGAAATTTCTTCTTAAGGTTGTTTACAGTGTAATTTAATCATATAAATTTTGTTAGTTTATAAAACAATTATTTAAAAAAATTTTCATATCAATTATATTTGAGCCAGCTCTTAGTACACTATGTAGAATAAAAAGAGATTGCAAACATTTAAAAAGGAGGGATCGGGCCGGGCACGGTGGCTCACGCCTATAATCCCAGCACTTTGGGAGGCCGAGGCAGGTGGATCACAAGGTCGAGAGATCGAGACCATCCTGGTCAACATGGTGAAACCCCATCTCTACTAAAAATACAAAAAATTGGCTGGGCATGGTGGCGCGTGCCTGTAATCCCAGCTACTCAGGAGGCTGAGGCAAGAGAATTGCCTGAACCCAGGAGGCGGAGATTGCGGTGAGCTGAGATCGCGCCATTGCACTCCAGCCTGGGTAACAAGGGCGAAACTCTGTCTCAAAAAAAAATAAATAAATAAAAAGGAGGGATCTTCATAACTATTTTTTAATGAAATTTTTATTCCACCTACATTTGTGTGTTCTTCACTTTAAAAAATAAAATTCAAAAATAAAGTGGAAAGTAAAGATAAAGTGTGGCATTACTATTTTCAAAACTTGGAGGATATGGTGTGGCTAAAATAAATTATATGTATTCACAGCTTTAGTGTTGTTTCTCTCAAATCTAGAAAACAGTAGTGAAGTCTACCATTGAGCCTACTTAACATCTTTAAATATCACAGGCCCATTTTTGTGTAACTTGTGCTTTGGTCTCTGGAGCAAGAGTTACACTGAATCTAAACAAGCACCAGATGCCTGGTGTTCAGCTGTGAAAATACACTAGTTGGCCCACCGCTAGGCAGGGACCTAATATAAAAAAGCAAGCCAAAGGAAATAAGGCATAACATAATTACCAGACAGAAATTACAGTGTGCTGGCGTATCAAAAGGAAGCTCAGAAAAGGATTATTATATTGAGGAAAAAAATAACCACAGAGAGAAAAAAAATACTCAAGAAAACAGGCCTGGCACAGTGCCTTACGCCTATAATTCCAACACCTTGGGGCACCAAGGCAGGCGGATTGCTTGAACCCAAGAGTTCAGGATCAAGCCTGGGCAACCCTGTCTCTACAAACAGTTTTTAGAATTAGCCAGGCATGGTGGCACATGCCTATAGTTCCAGCTACTTAGGAGGCTGAGGAGGGAGGATCACTTGAGCCTGGGAGGTCAAGACTACAATGAGCCATGATTGTACCATTACATTCCAACCTGGGCAACAGAGTGACACCATGTCTCCAAAAAGAAAAGAAAAGAAAACTGAGATGGAATTGCCAAATTAAAGGATGGGGAAGGCAAGGACTGGATCATGTTCATTTTGTAACCAATATTCTTTCTCTTTCATCCTCCCTCCTGGATCTGACATTGTTTAGGCATCTACTCTTTTCCATATAGATAGGAACAGTGAAGCTGGCCCTTCCCCAGCTTCAAATTTTGATGGCTTCTGGTTAATTTCAGCCAATTATGGTCATCCCATTTCTTCTACCAGTGATGGGTTTAGGAATAGACATGTAACCCAGTTTTGTGTAGTGAGATCTGTGAAGCACTATGCTCAAGACTTCTAGGAAAGATCACCTCTCTTCTAAGAAAAAAGGTAGGCTGGGCACGTTGGCTCATGCCTGTAATCCCAGTTCTCTGGGAGGCTGAGGCAGGGGATCACCGGAGGACAAGAGATCATGACCAGCCTGGCCAACATGGTGAAATTCCGTCTCTACTAAAAAACACAAAAAATAAGCCAGGCGTGGTGGTGGGTGCCTGTAATCCCAGCTACTCAGGAGGCTGAGGCAGGAGAATGGCTTGAACCCCGGAGGTGGAGGTTGCAGTGAGCCAAGATCGCACCACTGCACTCCAGCTTGGGCGACAGAGTGAGACTCCATCTCAAAAAAAAAGGTAAAGGAGTAGGTGGTGTGCTGACTCCCAAAACCGCTTACATTGAAAAATGTTTACTTGACTTCACGTTACAGTATTTAGGTATTACCCTTTAATTCAATGGCTAATTAAACGTGCACTTTTAAAGGGGTAGAGGATGTCAGTTGAATAACTGACAAACTATATCCCTTGGGAATATATTTGGAAACAGAAAATCCAACTTTTTTTTTTTCTTTAACAAATAGGGATTTGTCTCGGGCATCAAGTTTGGAGGTAGCTACTTAGTGATGTTTCAGGTACCCGGGCTTTTCATTTTCCTGCTTCTGCCTTCCTAGCTTTCATTAGGCTTATCACTGGCTGGTCACAAGGTAGCTGCTACTCCTCCAAGCAGGAGGCAGGGGAAAGGCAAAGGGACAAAAGGACTTGCTGGTAGAGTCTGACTGCTTTTATCAGGAAAACAAAACTTTCCAGGAAGGTCCACTCTGAAATCTGCGTAGATGTCATTGGGCACTCCTAATTGGAATGCTGCTTAGGAGAGAAAGAGGTTGTGGATGGAGTCAAGTCAGTCTGCCAGCAGTGCCAGCCACATTACTCACCTACCCCACATAAACGGATCAAGCTCATTAACCACTTAAAACCACTTGTCTTTTTACCATTCTGGAATTCTGTGGGTTTTTCTGGCTACAACTTGCAACATGTCTAATCTGTCTTCTCGAATTTAACTTCAACTATATTAATTCAGTCACTTTTTTACTTTTTGCTTATGTTATAAACTAAAGTTAGTACAGCCGGCCCTCCATGTCTGTGGGTTCTGCATCTGTGAATTCAGCCAACCTCAGATGGAAAATATTTGAAAAAAAAAAAAAAAATGGATGATTGCATCTGTACTCAACATGTACAGACTTTTTCTTATTATTCCCCAAACAGTACAGTTTAACAACATTTACATAGTGTTCACATTGTGTTAGATATTATAAGTGATATGGAGATGATTTAAAGTATGTGAGAGGATGTACTTAGGTTATATGTAAATACTATACCGTTTTATAATAGGGACTTGAGCATTTTTGGATTGTGTTATTTGAGAGGGAATGGTGGAGTTAGGACCAGTTCCCCACATATACTGAGAGATGGCTCCATGGTTAGGCCATTAGACTCACTAAGACATTGTTTTTCTTTTTTTCCAAAAGTAGGGCCTCTGAGCAAATATGTAAATTTGTGCTAAGTTTGTGCAAATTATTGTTTTTCATTTGAACTAAACATTGTGGTTATTTTTAAATGAGGCTTATAGTTCTTATATACCTTTTTATCTTAGGAAGAACAGAGGAACTATTGAATATTTGAACTGAACTCCATAACAATGATAGTCCAAACTACTGTTTCCAGGGTCCCTTTTGAGAAAAGAGATGCCCAGTTCATTAAAAGAAAAAAAAAATAAGCAGTGTTTAAATTGAATGTTTAGTATTGCATTCAGGATTTATCTTCAAAGACTTAGATGTTCTTAAATTATGTACTGGATTCTATTTTGTTATTTCCCTCCTGCCCCTAACTCTGTCCTTTTTCACAGATATGTTTATTCTCAATCACTGAGGTAAAAATTAAAAGGATAATTTAAGAGTGAAAGAAAGTGTGGTTTCACATTAAATGCTAGAGGTGAAGATGCCTACTATAAACAAGATGGAGTCATACTTTACAAAGAATACAGTCACAGATGTATAATGGGATTAGAGTGCCCTTACATTGGAGATGAGACAGAACACAGCCTCCAATCTTTGCTGGTTGATGGATGTTAGCAAACAGGGATTGGGTCTGATTCACAGTGTACCTCATTTTAGGATTCTGGATCCAGGACCAATGTAGAAAAACATTCTGACACCGCTAGCTGTATGCTAGTTTAAGTTCATCTCAGTAACTGTGAGTTCTTGTTGAACATAGGTGAAGATGAAACAGGTTTTATGTTTTTTCCAACCATATTTGTATTGCTTTGACCCAAGGGTGGCCACAGATCACAGGGTAATAGATGAAGTATGTATACATCAGGATTGTTTTGAGAGAGACAAATAAACTATTTAACTAATACTTATTACTCCTTCATTTTTATGGTATATAACAGGATCTTTCTTCACATATGGCTTTTATTTTTCCTAATCTTATTATGCAGGAGGAGAGGAATGGGAAACCAGATTACTTTATTTGTGCCTCTGAACTAGGGAAAAAGAAAAGTCATTAGTAAATCTAATAGTTGCCATCAGTTTTTTAATCCAGTTTTCAGAAGTTACTTACAATTATTGTAGACTGTACTGTGTGTTGAGGCTAATTGGAAACAGTGACCAGATTCTTACTCATTATCAGGAAACTGCATTCAGAGAATGAGAAGAACACCCCCGCTGGATGAATTGCAGCCACCACCATATCAGGATGACAGTGGTTCTCCCCATCTGTCATGTACACCCTCAGAAATTGGGGACAGTAAATGTGAATTTTCCCACTGCAGCAACAGTCCAAGATGCTCATATAACAAGTGCCCAAGTGAAGGAAGCACAGGTCATGAAATAGAAAGTTATCATAATAAAGGATATGAAGAAGATGTTCCAAGTGACAGCACTGCAGTCCTGAGCCCTGAAGTAAGTAAAAGTACAAAGAAGTTTGAAAATAAGTGTTATTTGGAGGATAATAATCCTGTGCTTCTCCTCTTGGTAAGAAGAATTGATTTTATCACTATCTTGTTCCGTTGTGACTTATGGTACCAGTATCCATTTTTAATCTAATCTTTATCCAACAAACTTACCGAGAATGTCCCAGCTAGTCTTCAACTGCCCCCACTCCCCAACTCCAAGCCCCACCACCAAAGGAGGATGGGTACTTAAGATTTTTTTTTTTAAAAAGCACTTTATATAAAACATTCTAGAATAATTTACCTACTTATTTCATCTTGAGGTTACTATTTGTATTATTTTTATTTTATTTTGGATTTTTTTTGCTATTGAGAAGTTACTCGGTGTTTCACAAATCTTTCAAAATAAGCTTACTGTATTTTTATATCATAGAAAATACAAAGAATAAATGACGATCAGCTTTACTAATGAAATTCGAATCCATGGCTTCATGTTGTTTTTAAGTTTACTTACTGTTTTGGAGCAAAAATACGGAAATGACAACAAAGATAATTTTGTGGCAGTTTTGAAGTATTATCGTATTCGAAAAAGAATTTGTTTTAATGTTTATATCATGATGAAAACTATAAAGGTAATCTAGAGTTTTTTTAAATTAGTATTTGTTTTTTGATTTACTTTCAAGTTTTTGTTTTTGTTTTGAGACAGGGTCTCGCTCTGTCACAGCTCACTGCAGCTTCCTCCCACCTCAGCTTCCCAGGTAGCTGAGACTACAGGTGTGCACCACCACACCCACACATTTAACAAATTTTTTTTGTAGAGACAAAGTCTCACTATGTTGCCCAGGCTGGTCTCAAATTCCTGGGCTCAAGCAGCCCTCCTGCCTGAGCCTCTCAAAGTGCTGGGTTTATAGGCATAAGCCTCTGCACCCAGCCTACTTAAAAGTTTTAGATTGCAAGTTCTTGCAAGTTCTTACAGCTTTTTTTCCAGACAACATTCAGTAATACTGAAATATGTCTGTATTCTTACCACATGAATTTTCAGATCTGCTGCCAAAATTAAGTAATAGATGTAGTTTCCTAAGACCTGGAGCAATTAAGCTATGGATAGAATTTCCTTAATTTTAGGTGTTTCTTCTATAATTGCTAAAAATACTTTGTATTTATTACTGCTTTTTTAGTATTTCTAGTATTACAGTATCTGACCCAGAAGAAAACTGTACATTGATGAAGTTTAATGTATCATTATTTTATGATTTTCCATGATGGGTGTTGCTTTATGTTCCATTACCTAAATAAATTTGAGACAGCCATTTTGTAGCTTTGTAAACTATTTCTATAGCCTACAAGTTAGCAGTGAAGCCTGGACTGTGGGATTAACAACAACAATAATACCTATCACCACTTTTATCAGAAGTTTTGCTATGAGCTTTATGTAGTCTGCTCATTTAATTCTAACAACCACATCTTTAGTAAGTTATTATTTCCATTTTATAAATGAAAACATTAAAAGTCAGAGAGCTAAACAATTAGACCAAGTACAAGAAGCTCTTAAATAGTGGAACTATAGTTCAGACCCAGGTCTGTCTGACTGCAAAACAGTGCTCTTAACAACTATATTATATTGCCTTTTTTGATCTAAAACACTGTATGAGAAATTACTATGATTCAGTGGTACCCTCCGGGCAAACTCTCTCAGAGGACTAAAACACCAAAGTAAGATGTTCAAATTATGTGTGTGTATGTGTGTGTGTGAGAGAGTGTGTGTGTATGTGAGTGTGTGAGAGTGTGTGTGTGAGTGTGTATGTGAGTGTGTATGTGTGTGAGTGTGAGTGTATGTGAGTGTGTGAGAGTGTGTGAGAGAGTGTATGTGAGTGTGTGAGAGTGTGTATGTGAGTATGTGTGTGAGAGAGTATGTGTGTGTGTGTATGTGTGTGAGTGTGTGAGTGTATGTGAGTGTGAGAGAGTGTGTGTATGTGAGAGTGTGTGAGAGAGTGTATGTGAGTGTGTGAGAGTGTGTATGTGAGTGTGTGTGTGAGAGAGTATGTGTGTGTGTGTGCATTTTACATACAAAGCAAGAAGTAAGAGGAGCTAGATGAAATCAGTTAATACACGTAGGGGTAAGCTGCAAGTGTGTATAGATAGCAGGACCACACCATTTGGGTCCTGGTTTATGCAGTGCTTATACGTCCTGTCTACTGTCTCTTTTCCATCAGCATTCCTATTTATGATGTAACAAGGACCAGAGTTGAGATTTGAACAAGGGTACCAAGAGCCGATAGCACACACTTGTTTGTGGGAGAGATATAGTTACATACCTGGCCACCACTGAAACTTGTCAGTTAGCCTACTAGGCAGTTGTAGGTTTTATATGCGTTTCTTAAGTAGAGCACATGGATGACAGAGCTGTCAGCACAGAGGCTACATGATCATGGCTTGTGTGTTTCATCCCTTTCGATAGGTAACACTCATTTGATTTATCATATTTTCTATTAAATCTATCTTTGGCATATGTTGTAAGTTATTAACTATTTATATTTAATATCTTATGAATTCTGCCTGTGTCTCACAAGCTGCTTCTTTGCTCACTATCTATAGTTAACACATACTGTAAGTTTTGCTCATATTTCAGAAGCTGCTAACTTGCTCTCTGTAACTACTTCTTTGGAATTTCCTCCATCCTGCTTATTTTTATGTCTTCTGTAACAGCACCGAATATACTCAAACGGTATAGCAAATGCACAATACATAAATATTTAGATATGAATGCTTATAGCGTATGCTAATATAAAATCCACTTTTGTGTTTTTTCAAGTTTATTTTACATCCTTGTAATACATATTATATGTCAGATAGAGAATTCTCACTTTTCTCTTGGTTTAATCCAGGCTGTAGCTATCTTAGAGCCTATCCACATACATGATTAAACAGAGAGGAGAGAAGGTTCAGAAGAATTCCATGGGAGGGAGTTTATAAACACTTGATGACCTATTGCTATCTAAAGGTTTTTTAAAACTAATCCAGATACCTTGAAAGGGAGGACTGCTGCTTATTGCCTATTTTCAGAATGCAAATAATATCTTTTATCTGTAAAGGTTCTACCCTTTCAACACTGGGTTTCACAAGAATTGTTGGAATGTTTGAAAAAAAAAGAAAAAACAATGAGGGAAACACCAAGAGAAACAAAATTCAAAAATAGCTGTCTAGGACCCGATAAACATTTTTATTGCCTGAAAATCTTAGCTGTCATGATACTATTTTAGAAAATATTTAATTGCAATACCAAAGCCGTATAACTAATAATCTTCAGTTACCAATTATGAAGTAGTATACATTAAAACATTTTGCTCTAAACTGTAAATTTTTTTTAACAGAATAAGAATATGTTTGTTTTGATTTTCTCATACTACATTAAAAACTGAATTCTCCTTTGGGAATTTACTCCTTCTCTGCAAGTATTGTTCTTCTGTTGTTTTTCTTTCCTCCCATACATTATACCAACTAGCATGTAAGATTTATAAGACCAAGGACTAACTGGGCATGGTGGCTCACACCTGTAATCCCAGCACGTTGGGAAGCTGAGGCAGGAGGATCACTTGAGAACAGGAGGTCAAGGCTGCAGTGTGCCATGATTGTGCCACTGTACTCCAGCCTGGTTGACAAAGCAAGACCGTGTGTCAGAAAAAAAAAAAAAAAAAAATAGGGACTCATGTCTTTTTGGTTCTCTTTGCAGAAAGTAGCACTCTCCTGACCTAAAATAGGCCCTGGCACATAGTAGGTACAATAGTTACAGTACATATTAAGCTGCCACAACAAAAAGACCCCTCAGCGCCTACTAAATACAATGGCTGAAGAACACAGAAACTTATTTCTCTTATGTTTAACAACAGTCCAGGGTGAGCAGGGAGCTTTACTCTGAGATTATTCAGGAACCCAGATCCTTCTCTTCTGTTGCTCTGCCTTCCCCTCGGGTACTGTCCTAGTCTACATGGTCTGAGCTGACCCACACATCCTGTTTGTATATCTGCTTGTGGAAGAGTGAGACAGAGAGTGGAGGGCAAGTAATTTCTTACATAAATCTGATCTAGATGTTTCACACATGAATTATGTTTGCCTCCCATTGGCCGAAGCTGAGCCATGTAGTCATATGAACTATAATAGAGGTACTGAAGTGTAGTCTCTTGTGGCTAGTGTTTTTTTTTTTTAGGCAGAGTCTCACTGTCATTGAGGCCAGAGTGCATTGGCATGATCTTGGCTCACTAAGACCTCTGCCTCCCTGGCTCAAGCAATTCTCCTGCCTCATCCACCTGAGTAGCTGGGACTACAGGCACCAGCTATACATGCCCAGTTAATTTTTGTATTTTTAGTAGAGATGGGGTTTCACCATGTTGGCCAGGCTGGTCTTGAACTCCTGACCTCAAGTGATCTGCCTGCCTTGGCTTCCTAAATCTTGTAGGTAGTGTTTCTAGCTAACACTCAGGAAGGTTTTTGTTTGTTTGTTTTTAGTAAATGGAAGAAGACAGATTCCGTAGTATGCCGTGCCACTTGAAGTTCAGAAAATTTTAAAAATTTATTAAATTGTCCACATTTTGAAATGAGAATTATTTAAGATTTATTAAAATACTTAAAGAGGCAAAGTGGTATAGTTGAAAGGTCAAAGACCTAGGTTTGACATTGTCAGTAACTAGCTAAAATTCCTATTATATTCTAGATAGATAGACTGGCAGGAATTTGAGACAATTATGGGAAAAATGGTTATAATTCCTTTTAATTTCATAATTAAATGTACCATTTCAGCCTTTCTTGAATTATAATGTGTATTCTGCCATTTTCAATAGTCATTAATGTTAGAAAATAATATGTTTTTAATTTTTGTTGGAAGTTGAAGTAAACCTGTGTTATGTAGAATAAATATTTGCTAACATTTTGAGGCCTTTTATTTATACTTTCATATTTCACATTTCCATTGATTTAAGTCTAAATATCTTTATATTTTATTATAGATGGGGGTGTTTTAGAATACACTCTGGAAATGGAACCAGATTTTTCAATAGCATTATACTTTTATTTATGTTTCCTTTCTCTGCAGCCTGATACTGCGCTGTCAATGGCATTGTTTATAAAATTGAAAGTAAAATGTAGTTGTTTTCTACAAAAGGAGCATTTACACCCACTAAAGGATATATTTTAAATTCTCATATATAAAAACATACATACAAATTCTCAAAATTGTGATGGTGAATATTAAATTCTAAATGTGTCTTTATTATCATAAGTTTTTAATTTAACTTACTGCTTATACTAATCTGGCCCTATAGGATAGCTTTTGGTTGTAGTTGACTGTTAATTATGATCGTATTACTTTCTTAGTGGCAGAATTGCTTTCACATCATCCTCCTAAAGAAATACCAAGTATTTATTTACATGCTAGGTTAAATAATTGAGTTAAAACTCTAACATTTAAATTTTCTTTTCTTAGGATATGTCAGCTCAGGGATCATCTTCACAGCTTCCTAAACCTTTTGATCCTGAGCCAGAAGCTAAATATGGCACACTGGATGTGACTTTTGACTATGACTCACAAGAACAGAAGCTTCTGGTAACAGTGACAGCTGTCACAGACATCCCAACATATAACAGGACAGGTGGCAACTCATGGCAAGTACACCTTGTTCTTCTACCTATAAAGAAACAGAGAGCAAAAACCAGCATCCAGAGAGGACCATGCCCTGTCTTCACAGAAACATTTAAATTTAATCATGTTGAATCTGAGATGATTGGAAATTATGCAGTTCGGTTTAGACTGTATGGTGTACATCGCATGAAAAAGGAAAAGATTGTGGGGGAAAAGATTTTTTATTTAACAAAATTGAATCTTCAAGGGAAAATGTCATTGCCTGTGATATTGGAACCTTCTTACAATCATTCTGTGAGTATCTCATCAAATGGCCTGAATAGAATTTATGTTCATCGTTTATAGTATGCACAATTTTTAAAATCTTTAATCAGCCCAACAAGTTTGTCAGTCTATTTTTTTACTTAGTAATCATGCCTTTATAAAAGTTTCTAAGTTCTGGACAGTTAGATAAGCTTTTTCTTACCTGTAAAAGTTACCCTTGAAGATAATTTGTGATTTGTATCTTTTATTTTATCATTCACAGAGTTTTGGCCCAGGGTTTTACATTTTTTTGTTGTTGTTGAATATTTATTAAATATTTGATTATGAAGTCATCCAAACCAATTATAGTTTTTTTTCCCAGGTTAAAAATAGGTGATAAATTAAGAAGGATCGGTCCCATATTTTATTTGCTGTATTGCAGAAAGGATTTGCTCTTACAGAATATGCACTGCTACCTAGGTCATGACTGGAGATATTTCCAGAACTTTTGTGAAATTATTTTAAAGTTTCAAAAAAAGCTGGCCTCATTAGACTGTTCACCCTTTTTTTTTTTTTTTTTGGCATAGAATCTTGCTCTGTCATTCAAGCTGGAGTGCAGTGATGCAATCTCCACTCAACACAACCTCTGCCTCCTGGGTTCAAGCGATTCTACTGCCTCAGCCTCCCAAGAAGCTGGGATTACAGGCACATGCCACCACACCCAGCTAATTTTTTGTATTTTTAGTAGAGATGGGGTTTTACCATGTTTGCCAGGCTGGTCTTGAACTCCTGACCTTGTGATCCACCCACCTAAGCCTCCCAAAGTGCTGAGATTACAGGCGTGAGCCCCTGCGCCCGGCCGGCTTTTCACCCTTTTTAAACAAAGATTTTGAAGTATTTCGGGAGAACCCTTAAGCTTAGTACTTTGAGCTGGTTCTCTCTTTTCTCTTTTTGTCCTCCAGATGATAATATCATATAAATCACTCTTTCTCTTTTTATATTTTTAACTAAATTCCCACAAGGCATTGCAAACCACAGGAGAGAAATGTCTGCACTGTTTATTTAAACCAGGGAGATACATTATGCCACATAGTTATTTAGATTATGAAAAAAATCTGTGATATGCTAGAAGTGTGCATTATGGTCTATATTCTGCTGTTATATTGAATAAAAAGCCTTTTTAAAATATACAGATTTTAGAATAGATTTATATTTTAAAATGAAAGTATAGTATTTTAGGGTTGTTTAAAGCTTTTAAATGTGTAAGCTTCAGTCCAAGTAGTTTAAGGTCTTACTGCATTTACACCAGGCAACATTTTATCTTGTAGGACCTTCATACACAGTCATACCATACCAGTTTAACTAGGTGATTTCAGTGTTTTTAAGTACAAAATAATGGTAAATATGGTATAATCTTATGGGTTTCTAGGATAAGACTTAATCTCTATTGGGAAAATTGATAACTTGTTATCCTTCTAAATTTTCAGAATTACCATTTTGGAGAAATGCCAAAATGGTAATTAATTTAGAATAAGTTTTAAATAATTTTAAATAAGTATTATTTTAAAATAGCAGCTTATAAGAGGAGAGAAAAAAAGAACAGGTAGTATTTCAGGGGGGGAAAAGAACAAATTTTTCATAAAATTGAATAATCCACAGTTACTAATATGATTTCTAAACTTTTTCATTATTTGGTCTGAATGATCACTAGTTATTCTGTGGAAAATATGCCCTTATATAGAAATAACTCATTTAAATTAGAAGAGAAAGACTGTGTCATCAAGAGGTATGTAATTTATCTGTTCCCAATTGTTTTAATTACATTCATTTCACAAATAAAATGAAGCCAAAGAAAATAATACTGTTTTATCTCTGCTCAAACTAAGCAGTTTTTAGTGGACCTACATTATGTGTGTTAGCTTATAGTCATTGATTCTGTAATCTTTTTCTGCCAACCAGTACAATACATTTTTGAGGAGTGTTTTCAAAAAGGAAAAAATGCTAAATAAATAGCTTTTAAGACATAACTTTTTTTTTAAACTTTCATTTTAAGTTCAAGTTTACACATGTGCAGGTTTACTATATAAGTAGACTTGTGTCATGGGGGTTTGTTTTACAGATTATTTTATCACCCAGGTATTAAGTCCAGTACATAATAATTTTCCTGATCCTCTGTCTTCTCCCACCCACCACTCTCTGATAGGCGCCAGTGCCTGTTATTTCCCCTCTACAGATAAAACATTTATATTTGAATAAAACTATCCATCTTCTGCTCTTAGAGAATGTTTTTCTGTGTTGATTTGCTTCTCAAATTCAGTACCCTGTATTTAATTGTTCCTCTTTCTTGCTTTCTTTCTCTCTCCACCTTCTCAAAATCTCATTACTTCCTTTTGGCTTCTGTGCTATCAGTTCTTTGGTCATTAAAATATAATGCCAATAGAAAGTGTATATTCTATCCATACTATAGTATTAATATTCTCTTTGCTTAAGTTTTAATATTAACTTTGTGGGGAGATCTTATGATTATAGTTTACTTGGGTGTGTTTGGCTCTAATTTTTTTAAGTTGGAATAATATATCTGTAAGAGATTATTCATAATGAAACATTTGTTCTAGTTGCTTTTCTTTCCCAGAGTCTGGGTGTCACTCTGGGAAAAGTCAGGGTCATCCAGGCTAGGTTGTAGTAGTGCAATCATGGCTCACTGCAGCCTGAAACTCCTGGGCTTAAGCAATCCCATCTCAGCTTCTCCAATAGCTAGGACTACAGTTGCATACCATCAGACCTGGCTAATTTTTTTTTAAAGAGATGGGGTCTTGCTATTTTGTCCAGGCTGGTCTTGAATTCCTGGTGTGAAGCAATTCTCACACATCAATCTCCCAAAATGCTGGGGTTACAGGAATGAGGCACCATGCTAGGCCTTCTAATAGCTTTTGAATAATTACTTATTATTGTTGCCATTTTTGTTGTTGCAAGAATATTAGCCTTTTGGCAAGGAAAAAAAGACCAGTGTTACCAAAATGATTTTCTGAGGACTAAACAGGTAGTTTCCCTGGGAATGAGAGTAAAGTTTAACATTTAAGATACAGTTTGAAGTGTGCCTTCTTGATCATTGCATGATAGAAAATATACTAAGAGTTGAAGAAGCGTAATTTCTTTCTACTAAGTAGCCATGTAAACTGAGTAAATCATCTGATTATTTTGGGCATCAGGTTTCTCATTAGTGAAATGAGATCTGGAAAGATGTATCCATCTCTGATATTCTCTAATTATGTTAGTATATATTGGGAAAGGAGTTAGGTGGGAACAGAAATTGGTGAAATTTAGATGAGTTTTGTATGCTTGATATAACATTTGTGGCAGATATGTATTATGTTTTCTCACTCTTCCACCTTTTCAGTAACTATCTGAGAATAACTATGTCTACCTCCCTAAGGTAAGCCATAAAATTGACTTTCCCAGTCTCACTGGTAGGTATGGCATGAACTGTGTGACGTAGACTCTGCCACTCATATTCATTTTCAGGAAACCTCAATACAGACTGAACAAAGAAGCAGGCGCTGCACTCAGATTATGTTTCCATGGAGTTGATGGTGGAAATGTCTGGTGTTCAGAGGCAATAGTAACTGTTGAAAAATTGCTCTGCTGATGCAGTGATGGTATTGGTGCTGGGCCACTAACAGTTGCAATAGAGAAAAGCCCTTGGCACAAAAGAATCCAGTGAGAACAGCAGCAGGTTTTCCTCACCTGACCAATTCTGTAGTGTGGCTTGTAGACTTTATTCTGGAGAAGGTTAACCATTAACTTGATTCTTTATTCATCCCCATTCCTTTAATAAATTACTGTTTCCCTTTGTGAGTCAGAGTTAGTTTCTGGTGTTTTCAAATAAGAACCGTGAAATAGCCATATGGTTTATTACTGTTTATTTGCTCTAGTCCTGTCTTATACTAACACAACAGCTAGAATGTCAGTTACCCTTCCTACCATGGTATATCCCTGTCGTAATTTGAACTTTTCTTATACACTCAGCTTTGTTTACATGGCACTCTTTCCTAGTTTATAACCCCAATCACTTTCTTCACTTGCATTTTTTGTACTGTGTTACTCTCTGTAACAGTTGCATAAATGTCCTTTCCCTTTTTCCTCATCCTGGTTTTATTTCTAATTTTAGCGTATTAGATTTGTTAATATTATTAAATTGATTGATTGATAATGAAACTTTATTCTTTCTCTCACAGCATCCACACAACCCTTTCTATACAAACAGTACTTAATTAGCCTGATCTTCTCAGAATGGCCAGCAATAATAATAGTGAGGGTACCCACACACTGGACACTTCTCAGAATAGAGCAATCTTTATTAAATCCTTGGTTTACTTTAAAAAAATTTATATGGTTTTTGGTGAGTTGCCGTTTAGGAAAACTGATACTTGACAAAGCTGTGGTGTGTTTCATCTTGAAATACGGTTCTCTACATTGTCAGATGAGCTGCAGGCATACCTGTTAAGTTTTTCTTTTGTAGACAAATGGTTCTCAAAGTATGATTCCTGGACCACCAACATCACATCACATAGGAACTTTATAGAGGTGCAGATTCTCAGTCCCTCTCTGAAACTTTCTGAATTAAAAAACTCTGAAGGTAGGGCCCAGCAAATCTGTATTTTAACAAGCACTGTAAATGATTCTGATATATGATAAGTTTGTGAATCACTGCTTTTGACTAGAGTTTGCAAACTATGACTTGTGAGTCAACTCTGGCACGCAGCCTGCTTTTGTAAGGTCTGTTGCTCCTCTCTGCAGAAGCAGCATACATTAACACAGTTGAACCTAAGTGTGGCCAGGTGACTTGCTTTTTATCTTCTGTGCATAACCTTTAAGAATAAGAATAATGCTTTCACTATCATGGAAGCCTGTGTGGAAATGGAACCTCTTTGAGCTTTAAAGGAAGCCTCTGTTGCCAATACAAAATCGATTATGTTGTAGCAAGAAGTAAACCATTGCTGAATTAAGCTGCTGAGAATTTGGAGTTCTTTGTTACTGTAGTATAATCCAAA